TGCTCCCTCCCAGCTCCCTGCAGGCTGGATCTCTGCCAGCCAGCAGGATGCTCACTGCAAAATTGCAAAATCCGTGGTTTTCTTTACCTCCAGTAAAAGGTAAAATCCGCAGTTCACTCCGTAGAAAAACAGGAGACAGAAAACCCAGATCCCTGATCATGACACTTTCATCAGTAGCTTTCAAGTACATTATCTAATCACTTGAGGATTAGTCTTCTAGGTTATGGTAAAGTACGTATTAATACCAACGGTAACTTGTTTTGTTTTGTTTTAGGTACCTCTAGTATCGACACCACCTGTACTATCTGGGGTCTGGAAACAGGGCAGGTTTTGGGAAGAGTAAATCTAGTGTCTGGCCATGTCAAGACCCAACTTATTGCACATGACAAAGAGGTGATACTGTTCTTCCTTTTCTTATTCCTGTTATTGCCTTTGTTACATCTGTTAGTGACAGTGGACAGCATTTTCCTTGGGATTTTTTTTTTTTTAGGTTCTAAGATTCTTCTAAAAACATGCTTGCATTCCACGTGACATATTTGTCTAAAATTAAGATATTTATCTTATTGATGGCCTCAGTTCTGTGCATCTGCTGCTAGTTATCTTGTATAGTGGCACCTCACAATATACTGGTTTTATTCTGTTTAGACTTGTAAAATATGTGCAGACAAAACTTTAAACTGTAGTTTAATTGAAAGTGCATCAGTAATTTTAGGCAGCAAAAGTTTAAGAATGTGTGTTTTAATTTTTACCATCCTCTAATTTTTCCTCTCAAGATTAATGCTAAGAAACCTAAGACGAGAAACCTTAAAAATACAGTTATGAAACCAAACAGTCCTGTAGTGCAGTCTTTCTTCCTTTTCCTTTTTTATACTTAGCCTGATCCTGAAATCCTTTCTCATGCAGTTAAGGTATGTAAAATCCCTGTCCATCAGAAGAGGTTTTTAAAGTTAAGGGCTTGTTATAATATCTTTGGTCTCTTCCAAATGTTTGCCTGCTAGCTCTTTGCATAAGGGAATAGAGTTGTATACAGGCACCATTCTGATGTAGTAGGGGGAAAGTTTTCTTAATTTCTTGGAACTTCCTCTAACTTTCCATGGAGCATTACTGGCGTCTTTGGCAGTTTAGTCTTGAAGCCTGTGTTCCCACCAGCCTCTTCTTATTTTCTGAAACAGCAGGACTTCTGTAGTCATTCAGATTAAGACTAATAAATAGGCAGGAAGCTTTCAGACAATTAAATTGGCTTTTCCAGTTTTGATCCCTGCCTGCTCCAATTCATCTCTATAAAGATTAAGATTAATAAGTATATGTTCCCTGAAAAATACTGCATCTAACTGTACTGTGTGAGGATTGGGTATATTTGTATAAATCTACAGTTCTGAGAGCTCTTGTAGTGTTGAAGCTTAGAACACAAGGAGATTTGGGTAAGGTAGATATTAAAAAATATAACAATTTGGAAACAAATAATTGCTCCATTTTAAAAATGAAAAAAGTTTAGAATTTTTATGCTAATCATTCTTTTTAGCAACCTCTCTGTAATTAATGGAGAGTGGGGAGAGAGAAGGTCATTGGCTAACAGCCTGTTCATATAAGTTTCAACCACATATGTTTCATTGTACTTGTTTCAATTCCCCTACTTCAAGCTGAATGTAAAAATCTGAGTACAGTATCTCATCTACATATGGAGAGACTTAAGAGCCTGACTTTCAGAGAAAGTTAAATAACCAATTTCCTGTTTATAGCCAATTACGTGTTTACAACTTATAGATAATTCAGCTGAAAGAGTTCTCTTGAACAACTAAGTGTGTGATATTGGCTTCTATGCCAGCCATTGGTACACAGTACCAAGAACCAAGACTGATCTGTTGAGTCATACTCTGAAGTGTGTTTGTTTGTTTATGTATGTATCCACAAACAAAAAAGTTCATCATATGCACATATTCCCAGGCTCTCCTCAACAAAACTTCTTATTCCCCTTTGTCCAATTGTGTGCTCTCTTGCTTTCCAGTAAATCTACTTTTTGAGGTGATACTTTTCCTTTGTTTTCTTCATGAATTGCTCCAAATACAGAGGTGTCATAATGTCATTCAAAGTCTTGAATGTTGGGAGATATTTTAAAATGTATGTACATCAAAGTTGTTCTCCCCAGGAATATATTTTGATCTAGGGAACAGGCTAGATCACAGCTAGGGAACAGGCTAGATTTACATCTCACTAAATCTCAAGTCAGCGAGCACTTCCATACTAAATACTTACCATATCATGGTATCTATGGTATTTCTTATTATTCACAGCAAATTCCCTAGTAGAAACAAATGTTTGACATAATAAATATATAATAATGATACATGAGATGGAAAAGCTCTTTTGGTCCATTTTCCAGATATAGGGCACATCATGTAGTAAACTGAGACTATGTTGGATCTTAGCCCAAAGTCTTGTCTTTATGGAGGCAACTATTAAAATACATCATTCAGCTGCAAGGGTTATATTTATGTAATGGTGATATATATATATTAGAGTGGAAAGCCTGGTTATATTTCAGTAAAAGGCTGAAAAAGCCTCTGCATCTGTGTGACTAGCATTCCCATCTCATACAGAGCACAGCACATGCTGTTTTGATGTAATGTTCTTGAATTGGCGTGAGTAATACTCTTACTGTTATGGATTAAAGGAAGATTAATGGGTCATTCTTTGATAGTGGAGAAATGGAAAGCAAAACTTGTCTTAAAACAATGAAATCGTTTCCTCCTCTTTTATTGTGCAGGTGTATGACATTGCATTTAGCCGTGCAGGTGGGGGGAGAGATATGTTTGCTTCAGTTGGTGCTGATGGTTCTGTGCGAATGTTTGACCTCCGTCATCTGGAACATAGCACCATTATCTATGAGGACCCGCAGCACCATCCTTTGTTACGTCTTTGCTGGAACAAGCAGGATCCTAATTACCTTGCTACAATGGCCATGGATGGCATGGAGGTAAATCACTGATTCTATTCTTGTTGACTCTGGTATTTTTCTTTTTCAGATTATTCAGTCAGCACTTGATTATCAGGCTTAGTTCTTTGAAGCTTAAGATATATAAATGCTTAAGATTGCATGTCTGGTTGTAGTAAATGCTTGTCCCAGGGGTGGTTGCAATGTGCCCCCAGTGGCCACTCAGCCCTTGCTAACCTGGCTCCCTTTGGGCACTCTCCCTTTTACTTATTTACCTGCCATGCCTTGATGTTGTTAACTTCTGAGGGAAGGGACATTGTTCCAGGGCTTCCCAAGCCTGGTCTTACTCCTATGACTACAGGTGCCCATAGTCATTGACTTAAAGGCTAATTACATGGACTTCATCCTACTCAGTGCCCACTACCATGCCTTGCAGCTAACATGCTAACACGTATCCTTCCTGGGCTCCTTGATCCCCTCAGTCTCTGGCTGTGGTCCCTGACCTTTGGTCTCCCTAGACCCTGACCCCAGTTCTGGACCAGGTGAGAGTTTTGGGCTCTCTTAGCCCTGCTGGCAACCACTGCTTTTGGTGCTCCAGATTTCAGGGCTCTGACCCTGCTCACACAGTACCCTCTCTCTGGGCTTGGGCCCTCTGGCCCTACACACTGCCCTCTAGGCCTACTGGCCCCAGGCTTTCCCCCTCTATAAGCTACAGGCTCCTTTGCCCCCTCAGTCTTCGGTTGTAGTCCCTGACCTTCAGTCTCCCTAGACCAGGAGTGGGCAATTATTTGGGCCCCACGGGCCACATAGGCAGTTCTGGGGACCTGCCACGGGCTAGTCAGCACCTCTCTTTCACCCCTCCTCCCAAGAGCCCTAAGGCCTATGTGCTTTGTGACTCCTCGACACCACCACCAGCAGCCCCACAACTGCTCTGGACCACCTACCTGCACTGAGCAACGGCAGCAGCTGGGCAGAAGCTGCTGCTTGGTGTAGGGGAAAAGCATCCCCTCCCTGCTGCTGAGCCCTTCTTGCTGCAGCTGCCCAGAGCCTGTGCCCAGGCTGCCCTGAAGCTTCTCGCTGCCATTGTCAGTGCCACCTCCAGGCCTCCCAGCAGGGTAGTGATGACACTGCAGAGGAGCCACAGGGCAGCTTGGGCATGGGCTCTGGGCAGCTGCAGCAAGAAGGGTCAGGCAGCAGTGAGGGAGAAGAACTGCTTTTCTCCTGCGCCAAGCACCAGCTTCTGCCTGGCTGCCATCGCTGCTACCACTGCTCAGCTTGGGTGAGTGAGCCTGGAGCAGGTGTGGGTCAGGGCTGTACACAGGGATCTGGCTGGTGCAGAGCTGGTCTGCTCCACCGGGCTGAATCCAGAGCAGGCACAGGGTAGGCTGGGGTCAGGGCTGTGTGTGTGGGTCTCTGCCAGCACCCTGGGCCCACGGCGGCAGTGACAGCCAGAAGGAGCCACCTAGGCAGCTTAGAAAGGCAGTCCAGCTGCAGAGCTGCCCCAGCCCCACTGAATGCCCAGGGGATGGCAGGATGTACCACAGGGTGGATGATGCCTGGGCCAGAAGGGACTGAGTGATCTTCAGAAAAAGTCCTTTCACAGGTCGGATCCAGCCCATGTGCCGTATTTTTTCCCACCCCTGCCCTAGCTTCTGGCCCCACTCCTAAGTCAATTGAGATCTCCAAGCCTGTGACCCCAGCAGTCTCCAGCAGTGGTCCTTGAACTTTGGCCCCTCCCTAGCCCCTGCTTCTGGGCCAGTGAAACCTTCAGAATCCCAGGCCCTGTTATCAACCGCCCCTCCTGGGCTACAGACCTCTAGGCCTCAGGCCCCATTTTCCTTCTGGCCTCTCTTTCTGGACCAGCTGGGACCTCCTCACCTCCCCTTAGTCCCTTCCCCAAACCCCAAGAGCTTACCCCTGCTTAGGTGCTATACTAGGATCCCTGTTACAGGGCTACTGCCAAGATCCCCTTTCTCTCTCTCTGGCTCCTGACTAGCTCAGGCCCTAGACTTATATGCCTCAATGTCACAAGGCACCTGTGTGACCTTGTGCCTAGAAAAGGGTGAAGAACAGCTGCCAATTGCCAGGGCAGCTCAGCTGTGGGTTGCTGGAATAACTAGGTTGGTCAGGTGACCAGAAGGGGGCAGGGCCAGGCCCTTATAAACAGCCAGGCCGGAGCCTGGCTAGCAGTTCCCTTCTGGCAGCCTGAGGTGTAGGAGCTCTGCAGGAGAGCTAGGCCAAGCAGTGCAGCCTGAGCACCCAGAGGGCTGCATGATGGTAAGGATGAAGAGAAGCCTGACCGGGAGGCTTTGGCAAGAGAGCCCGGTGGGCCTGGACTATATGTTACGGCCGGTAGGCTTATGGTTTTGGTACGGCCGGTAGGCTTATGGTTTTGTTGTGTATATCAACCGGAGGACCGGGTGATGCTGTAGGGGTGTGAGGAGGCCTCACGGGAGCTCCCCAGTAGTCTGGGGGTTCCTGGGTGCCCTGTTCGGGCACCAAGCAGTGCCGGGAAGGCGCGGCAGCTTGGCACCAGTGTGGTGCGGTGAGTGAGGTGTGACCCCAGCCCGTGAGGGCGGTACTCGGCCCAGTGAGGGCATAGGACCCTGAGAAGGGTCAGGGGCCAGGCACGGCTGCGTGCCACCTGAGCCCCGGCACCGGCGAAAGCCCGAGACAGGGCTGGAGCGCGGGAACAGGCTCGGAGAGAGCCAAGGGCGCGAGTAGCGTGGGAACAGGCTCGGAGAGAGCCAAGGGCGCGAGTAGCGCGGTCACCGGCCCCAGCAAGGGCAAGCACGCGAGAGGCGCGTGGCATAAGGACCCTGAGAAGGGTCAGGGGGCCAGGCACGGCTATACGCCACCTGAGCGCCAGCGCCGGCGAAGGCCCAAGACAGAGCTAGTGCCATTAATCGGGCTCGGAGAGAGTCAAGGGCGCGAATAGCACGGGAACAGGCTCGGAGAGAGCCAAGGGCATGAGTAGCGCGGTCACCGGCCCCAGCGAGGGCAAGCACGCGAGAGGCGCGTGGCATAAGGACCCTGAGAAGGGTCAGGGGGCCAGGCACGGCTATACGCCACCTGAGCCCCAGCACCGGCGAAGGCCCACGACAGGTCTAGTGCCATTAATCGGCTGGAGAGGACTGGGTGTGAGACAGGGCCCAGAGAGGGTAGGACCAGCCCGAAGAGGGCGAGGGAGCATCCAAGGTCTTATAGACCTGAGAATGTCCGGAATAACTGCAAGGCTTGGGGCGTGCTAAAGGGGAGGTAGGAGGCACGCATAGCCCATAAGGCTGGGGTGCACCAAGTCACCCAGAGACACTAGGAGATCGAAGGCAGCCTCCCATATTAAACTATAAAAGATCAAAGACGTGGCAGGCAAGATTAAGAGGGTGCTGGATCTCCTAATTGGCACGGCAGGGGGACCTAGTGGGATCATGGCCGCTCGGAGGCCCCACGCCGTGACACTCAAGCCCAGTCCCCTTCCTGTCTGCTAACTCCTTAATAGGCCCCTGCTAAACCTGAAGGCTGCTTTCTAAGCTGCCTCTTCTCTTAAAATAACAGGAGCACCAAGTACCCTGTTGCACAGAGATAAGACTGTAGACAAGACTTCTTTTCTTAGTTGAGCTTCTTGCTGAAACATTTGGCAAGATTTTTTTGTTCTATGAAACTTTTCAATGTTCTAACATTAAACCAGCTGAGAGAAAAAAATCACTGTTCTCATTTACTGTACTCCCTTGCTCTTTTGTTAAGGCAAATTTGATTTCATGTGTCTGACTATTATGTGCATTTGTAATACGCAGCAATAGTGATGAGAGCTATGGATTGTTCCATTGACTTTAATAGGATCGTAGAAAATTAGGGTTGTAAAAGACCTCAGGAGTTTGTCTAATCCAACCCCCTAGATGTAGAGGAGTATAGGTTTTGGGATGCTACAGGCCTGAAGATCTGAAAAGTCCCTAGTTCTTAAGCCTCTCAGCTGTTAGCATTTTATATGGAGACTTAAGGTAGGTTTTAGTTCATCCGAGTCTAGTAACAGAAAAAAGCACTGTAGTTTTATCTCATGCTTTGACACCAGCTGTATCTCTCTGAAATGGTAACTTTGTAATTTACTCTGTTACCTATTTTACAAGGTCTCCATATAATGTAAGTTCTGACTCTTTGCAGGAGACCAGGACAAGCATATGCTTTTAAAAGTGTTTCTTTTCATTCATACATGTCTTTGGAGACAGGGCTGTATTTACAGCTGTTTGCCAAAATGTCTGAAAGTGTTCACTTCTTTCCTGAAGAACAACTTTTTGTTTCTGAAGGTGGTGATTCTTGATGTCAGAGTTCCCTGCACTCCTGTTGCCAGGCTAAACAACCACAGAGCATGTGTGAATGGAATTGCTTGGGCACCTCACTCTTCCTGCCATATCTGTACGGCAGGTAAGTATGGGGAGAGATTTGTTCTTTGTTCCTCTCTCTGATCCTTCTCTACACTGGAGCTGTTTAACTGTGTGACCTCTTGCAGAGTCTTACTATCCTTTCCATTAGGATTAATATCTCCAGGATTTTAAGGAAGAAGGAAAAAAATCAGGACCCCTAACATTTCCAGGTGTTTGCAGGTGCTTCCCCCATGCTGTCCTGTTCCCCCAACCCCCCAAATTACATACACTTTCTAAAACTGTGGGAAAGACTCTGAAACCACTTCATCATAAGCAGTTTGGGCACTGGGTTCTCATTTTGAGAATGAAGTATTGCTTCTAAATTGTCTAAACCATAAAGGAGTTGGCTTCTCTCTGAATTTGGGAGTGCTGGAACAGTTTGGTAGAGAATGCTTTTTAAAGCGTAACAGCTACACAGATTATTTTAAAAGGTCATCTTCTCCTTGCAATTAAAGACTTTGCTAATGGTGTATCATGTCTGCATTCTTAATTGGGGAAAAATTAAACACTGCTGCATGCTGAACATCTTGAGAGGCTGTTTTTCAGAAGATACAGTATGCCATTTGCATACAAGGTAAAAAGGTTCAGTACTTTGTTAAAACCCTTCAGACCAGTGGTGCTCACCCTTTGGCCCACAGGCCAAATCTGTCTTCAAAAGTAGTGTCATACAGCCTGTAATATGGGAGATCATCAGCAAGCAGCTGAGCCCAGTGCATCCCCCTGCCCTGCCCTGCCCAGTGTCACTGATCCCCCTCAGCCCTCCCTGTTCTCTCCCTCCCCTTTTCCCTAGGCAGGCAGTGTTTACTAGAGAGAATATCACTTTCTCTCCCCCTCTAGTCCCTCTGATATAAGAGAAGACGGTTGTTGCCAAACTCTCCCTTTTTCTGCCCCCCTCCCCCCACCTCTCCACCAAAGGAGTGGTGGTCCATGGTCCAGCCTGGTTGCCAGCACCCAACCTACTACTCTGAAAGGTTGAGCTTCACTGCCTTAGGCTGTATCTTAGGTTTGGTGTTGTGTGAGGGTACTCCTAATGAAGTTGCTATTAACTGTACCCAAGTCCATAAACTAGTCTCATGGGACAGAAAATGTAAAATGATCTGAGAGATCAGAAAGATCAGCTAATTCACATCTGAACTATCCACTTAGTCAACACAAGATTGTTCCCTCCATTACGTTTAGTGTTTCACCTAACCTAATGTTTAATTAAGTCTTCCATGCTTTCCTTTGGCTGCCATGGTAAATGTGGTAATGAGATGAGTTTGTAAGATAATGTGTAACACAGGGATGCGTTAAAAAAATAATAATAAAAAAAAAAGCTTGTGGGCTGGATCCAGCCTGCCAAGGGATTGTATACAGCCCGTAGTAGGTCCCTTGGTCATACCTGACCGAGGTGCAGAGGGCACCCCTGGCCATGGTGCATGTGGCTGGTCCCACCACCCCTGGGTGGAGCAGTGGGGCTGGGACAGCATGGCAGCTGGGCTTCACTTCATGGCAGTCCTGGCAGCTGCCATTGCCAGTGTCACTGCCACCACTAGCACCTCATCCTGTCTGCCTCACGCTGCCAGGGGTGCTAGATGGAGTGGGTGGATGGTGTCTCCATGAAGACTAGCTTGGGACCCACACAGGCAGGGTATGCTTGGCTGGGCAAATGGGATGGGGCTGTGGGCAAGTGGAGAGCAGCATCTGGGAGCAGGGAAGAGCCAGGGCTGGAGCCAGATCGTAGGGCGGTGACAGTGCAGGACTGAGGCCCAAGGGAGAGCTATGATCTGCCTGCACATCCCTGTGATGAGCACTGGTTCCACAGGCCAGGGCGTGCAGGGAATGGATTATGGCTCCGCCCTGGGCCCTGGCCCCACGCTGTCACTTTCCTTTGATCCCACTCCATGATCGCCCGCCCGTCCTGCTCCCAAATGTCGCTTGCTGCCCACCCACGGCCCCATTCCATCTACCCAACTGAGCATGCCCTGGCCACACAGGTCTGTCTATGGAGACCCCAGGGCTGGAGCAGGGATTGCCTGGTATTGACAGTGCAGGGGTGGGCCCCAAAGCAGAACTATTTAAGAAGTTTGAGCTGTAGTCATGGTGGGGAGGGGGATTCTGACTGACCTGGCTTTCAGCAGCTCACCAGAACTCCTCAAGTGGCCCATAAGATGAATATGAGCCACCAATGGAATGTCACAGCTGGTAAAGTGAGCAAAACTCTGGCTTGCATCTATAGATGCTTCTCAAGCAAATCCCAGGATGTCATCCTCCCACTCTGCTTGGCCTTGGTGAGGCCACAGCTGGAGTATTACATCCAATTCTGGGCTCCACAATTTAAAAAGGATGTGGAAAAGCTTGAGAGAGTCCATAGGAGAGCCATGTGCATGATCAGAGGGCAGGAGAACAGGCCCTGTGATGAGAGGCTGAGAGTCATTGGACTCTTAAGCCTGGAAAAGCACAGGCTCAGCAGGGGACCTGGTGGTTGCCTATAAGTATATAAGGGGGGGTACATCAGGGTTTGGGGGAATGTCTGTTTACCAGAGCACCCCAAGGGATGACAAGGTCAAGCAGTCACAAACTCCTCCAAGACCATTTCAGGCTGGACGTAAGAAAAAACTTCTTTACTGTCCGAGCCCCCAAGGCCTGGAATAGACTGCCTCCAGAGGTAGTGCAAGCACCTGCTCTAGACACCTTTAAGAAACATTTGGATGTTTATCTTGCTTGGGTGCTTTGACCCCAGCTGGCTTCCTGCCCCTGGGGCAGGGGGCTGGACTTGATGATCTTCTGAGGTCCCTTCTAGCCCTAATGTCTGTGAAATCTATGAAATAGCCCAAATAATTGCCCACCCTTAGTGTAACAGGCTGTAATGAGATGGTCTTTCTGAAAGAGACTTATCTTTTGAATAGTTGAAGTGACCTAGCCTGTTGTTATGTGGACTACCTGATTCATCTTATACATCTTCTGAGTCTGGGTTTTTTTAGTTTGTTTGTTTGAGAATATGCTCCCCCCTGCCCTTTAAGTAGCCATATAAAGAAGTAAGTACTCAACTTGGAGGTATTAATTCTAATTCTGATTTTCTTACTTGTTTGTAGCTGATGACCATCAGGCTCTCATCTGGGATATTCAGCAAATGCCTCGGGCCATTGAGGATCCTATCCTGGCCTATACAGCAGAAGGAGAAATCAACAATGTACAGTGGGCATCAACTCAGCCGGACTGGATAGCTATCTGCTACAACAACTGTCTGGAGATCTTGAGAGTGTAACATTACTGGGCCATGCCAAAGCAAGGCACGGCTGTATAATTTTCCCCCTTCTAACGTAAGAACAAACAAGATTCAGTGGCCAGTATCTTTTTGTTGCTTTGCATCTACTGTTCCAAGAAACTGTTACAAGAATTGATGGCAGGTGTCTGCGGTCCCCAAAAGACTCAAAAAATAAATAAATAAAAAAGCAGGGACGTGACAAGCCTCTTGGACCCTTCTGGGTTCTGGTTTTAATAATTTTTCAATTTAAAGTTCTGTATATTTGTTTGTCGACTGTGTTAATGAACATTATGGGCTTTAAATGACTGCTTTAAGTTACTGCATATGTTTGTGTGTTTGTCAACCAGCTGAGGCAGCACATCCAGCTAGTTTGAGAAATGTAAGTGCAAAACTAGTTGGAAGAAAGACACTGATATTAGCCAACATCCCTGCAGGAATCTCTAATTATTCCTGCTATTGCTGTCTCTAAACTGTTTAAACATTTCTACGTTTGTTTTTTATATATCTTGAGCTAAGTTTCTATTGAGTGAGGTGAGGTGAGGTGAGGCTCTTCTCTCCAGTTATTTTTGATATGTGATCAACTTCCATTTGCCCAAAGCAGGATCTGTTCGTAGAGGTGAGTCATGAGCATCATTGTTGATTCCTTGGCAGTAAAGCCCTGCCAGTATTAACTGTTGCCTTGGCTCCTTATACCTGGCCAGAATCACCTGGTGCTGTGAAATACAAATTTATTGCACAACTGTCTTCTGATTTCTCTGATGCTAGAGGCAGTTGTTACTATGGTAGGCCTTACATTAAAATGTTAACAGAATTACTGTGGCTTTCCCACAGCTGTATTGCCTAACTGAATGGGGATCAGCATTTCAAAAAGAGAAGATTCTTGTGTGACTACTTGTTTTGAGGTAAATGATTTCTGGAAAACGTGCAACTTTGAACATGTCAATCCAAAATCCATTACAGTGAAACAATTTCCCCTAGAAAATTTCCTGACTGAACCAAAAGAAAAAATGGCTTCACACTTTCTTTCTACCTTGCTTGGTTGAAAACTATAACCTAAGCAAAAATTCTATACTTAACCTTTTTAACTGGGAGTTTTTCTGCATTTGGCCTGTTTTTCTGGAAGTTCTTGAACGTGAAGGAACAAGGAGCTAACTTTTTTTTTGCCCCTCAGTATATTTGCATTGTCTGCCCAAATCTTGTTGGATGAATGAGAAGTCAGAACAGCTGGTCTACTATCAAAATGGAAGCTGTCCCTATAGCAGAAGTAGTTCCCTAAAGCAACATACAAGGTGGATCTAAAATGAAAGAAGCTGTATATAGTCTCTCAAATGGATCCTGTGTTCTGGTTTTAGTTGCATCTTTCAGGTATTGCAACTTTTGTAAGTAGAACCCTTCAATTTTGGAGGGTTTTTTTAATAGTAGAAAGAAAAAAGGGGGCCTTGGCAGGTTGTTTTGTAACACTGCTTTCTGATTTAAAGTTGCAATGGTTAGAAAACTTAATCTTAACGTGGAGAATAATGTGAATGTTCTGTTCAGATGAATGATCTGCAGTACCCTTCCAAAGAAAACGTGACAACAGAATGCAAGACTTTGTAGTCACCTTTTTACTGTAACAAACCGGGCTCTTAAGTTAGTTGTCAGCATCTGCTCATTACCATGAGTTAGTCCAAAAACCAAATGCAGAATTACCAGATCACAGTTGAATTTTAATCTCACCAGTTTAAGAAGAGTTTGTTTTGGGGTACATGCGTCTCTCTCCCTCCACCTCCTCCCCCCACCTTAGTCTTCTTTACAGTATTTACAACCACTACATTCTGTTTTAAATGCTGTGTCCCTGTTGCACCAAGTCAGAAATGGAAAACTGTTTATAGTGAAATGGACCATACTGTCAAACACGGAGCAAAACAAATAGGTGAGGCAAAATCTTTATCTTAAAAGTTACTGCAACACTGGGTAAACATTTTTACAGGTGACCTTTTTAAAAAAAATGCTGTAGTAAAAAAAGCACCATCTTACTAATTTGATCAGCTTTCACTATTAATTAGATATTTTCCTCCTATTAGCAATATTGAGCTAACACACTGCTGAGTTGTACTCTGTTCCACCTCTTGCACTGTCTGATTCACTATGTTCCAAATGTTGACTCTTTGGGTGAGCAGAAAGAGTACGATTGTCAGACCAAGTTGTTGGCATGGTAGCTAGTAAGATAACTTGAGACTTGCATGTAGACTGAGCAGACTTGCTCTAAAAGTCATTGAAAATGCAATAAATGTGGAACTACACAACTGAATTGTCACTTTTCAGAGAAGAACTGCACCTTAAAGTTAGAAATTGCATATGCTAAGCCCCAAGGTAAAAGTTTTATGCTTATAGCAATATTAATTGACTTACTGTGCACATTGCTTAAGTGTAAATATACATGTAACAATATTACAAGCATTTGACACAGTTGGTGATTGAGAGAAGCATAACTCATTTTCTGACTTGATGCAGATTTTAAATATATATACTTATTGCTGCAAATCAAGCTTTGCATTTAACTTTGTAAAGGATAGAACAGAAAAAAACTTGTGTAATTTTAGGATATATGTAGTCCCATTTAGGCTTTGATGTTTCATTCTGTTGAGGTAAATGGTATGGGGTGAAAGCTGCTTTGTTAAAACCATTCCTCACAGCCAAATGCAGGGTGCAGCTGTGCATCACTTGCAACTGCTGTCTTCAGAAGAAAGAAATGAATTGATCTGTTTTTAGTTGAAGATTCGTATCTGCAGAATACATGAAATGGCGGATACCATGATTTTTAACAACTTTGTCTCCCTTACTCAATTCATTTTCCTTGTCCTTGACAAGTGTTTTGATGACAACTTTAATCTTCCCTACAGTTTATCCCTACCCTGGACGGGGATGGAATTTGTGTAATTTCCCTGCCCAAGATCAACTTTATTGGGTAGATGCTTAGTAGAATACACTAGTCATCTCTTTTTGTGAAGATGTAACATGCCTGTTACTGTAGTAGCGAAGTGATTTCTTCCTCCCAAATCTTTTATCCAGTTTAATTGAACCTTAGTCATGAAGGACAAATTCTGTGAAAAAGTATTTACCTGATAAGTTTTTGTGTGTGCGTGCGTGTGCGCACGCATCTGCAGATTAAAAGTAAAATAGAGCCCTTCGACTATATCGAGCGAGAGTTTTTTCCAACAATGTAAACCCCACCAGGCTAAATATTTCATCCCCATTGAGAACTGAGAATGTTAGAGCAAACAAACCATGGTCTGAATAATGAGAACACTTCCACTGCTAGTAAAAACTGTTTGATTATGTGTACTTTGAAGGGATCCAGCTTAGGATCCCTCTTCCCACCACTTGCTTGTTAGTACTGGTTTGGATTTCTCTATAGAGAAGAGACTCCTGATCCAAATTCCATTGAAGATAAGGGAAGCACTCTTGACAACTTTAGTGGGTGTGTAATATGACCTGTATTCTTGCTGCAATTGCTTGTTTATTGATTGGACTAGCTTCTAGATCTATGGTTCATTGCCTTATTTGGGCCATGTCCTACTGCTGTTCCCCATGTCAGATACCGTCCTTAGAAGTGAGAGATACTATTTAAATTAATTTTTTAAATAGTCACTTGAGCAATGTAATGAGCATTACCTGAAAACTAGGCAAACCTGTTTAGGTAAGGGCTCATACAAAGGGCATTTTATTTAAGAAAGGTAAGAGTATGAGAGGCTTCTTTGCAGTGCTATTCTAGCATGAAGCAGTGTGTTTCTCAGTGGTTCACGTTTGTTTCAAATATAAGACACACCTCTGAAAGCTGTAAAGTGCTGAGGATTATTGACCAAAAGAAACAGCTCAGCATATCCTGCCAACTGAATATTTCAGTTAGAGGTGAAAACACTGCAAACACTGCTTCATTTAAATATTTCAGCCCATCTTACACTTTCATGTCTCTTTTTTTTTTTTCCTTCCAAGGCTTGTGAAAACCACTAGTAAGGTAACTGATTTTGATAGTGGTTCTGAGTGCTTTAGAGATCATACAGAGAAACTGCTTTCAAAGTATTTGCCCCTGAAGGGACGGGAGGAGAACTCCTGGGAAAGATCCTAACATCAGTGATGTTATCACAAAAGTGGATGGTGTAATGTGACATAAACAAGATTTTGAGGCACTAACTTCACTAGTTTTGGATCATTTCTCCTACTGATTATTTCCAGGCATTTGGATGAACTTTCTGAGCCAAGCTATTCTAGATTCCAACTATTATTTGAGCAACTTGTTACTAGCATGTTTTGGTTCCCAACCCAAAGATATGTCCTATATTTTAGCAAGATGAAGTGGGCAGTGATTTGAGAACCTAAAAGTTGGATAATAAAACAGTGCATTAGTACAGTAACTTTTGTATACTACTGAATTAAACCAGGCTATGATAAGTCACTGCTACCAGATTTGTCCTGCCACATGCAGAGATTTACTAGGTGAGAACTTAAGTGCTTTGACAATCTCTAGTACTTTAGTGGTCACAATGTAGGGGATGAAAGGTGACTGACACTATAAGAGGTCTTAAAATAAGCCACTTAAAAGTGGATGATGATCGTCAGCAATCATAATAAATCTACTGACAGGATGAATCTTTTCTGACCTGAGACTGAAACAGCCTCCTGTATAGGAGGAGGCTTGTTTTTAAAATGTAAGTTCAGGAATCTGAGCATGACTGTTAAGCTGCTCTAGATGGCACTTTAGTAGGTATATTTTGGTAGGGTTAGGAAAGAATGAACCTCTTTCTGCCCTAGTCTTTTAAGGCAGGATTTTATACCTCTGAAATTTGTCTCGTTTAAAATAAGTGTTCCTGACATTGCAAGATGGAATTTGTGAGTATATAGTTATGTAATCCTTTTCATGTCAGAACTACCTGCCCTGCTGAAGGATAAAACTGTGAGCACTTGAAAATATTGTTAAGGCTACAAACTAGGAGGCTTTGTTCCAGATACCAGCAGAGAACTCTCAGGCACTTAGACTGCTTGTCACCCAAATAGAACTCCTTTCTGTTTCATTTGATCATCTATTATTACCTAATGTTTAAGGGCTATGTAATTAGGTGCCCTTTCAAATTGTCTGTTGGCAGTGGCTGGGGAAATGTCTCAGTATGTGATGTAAATGAATAAGCAGACCACAGACACCAGTTGTGAGGTAGAAAAAACAGATGCAGCTATCTGCACCTTCCCACGTAATTCAAAAGTCCTTAACTTTATCCCTGAATTCCCTGGTGCTCTCTGACTGCTGTTCATACTGAAATGGATAAATGTACAGCAAGTTTCAGCTAACTGTACAAATTCAGACAGCTGCAAAACTGTTACGTTTCCATCAAAAACCTGGAAAGGGTTAATCATCCACTACCACCAAAGAAAATGGTTGTTATCACAAACCCAAGTGGAATATTATCCAGTCAACAAACAGTTTGGATGTTTGACTGCCTGCCTTTTCACTGCAAGGTCAATGATTCACATTCTAGCCTAGGCTTTTAATGTTGGTCTGTGCGATGGCCTTTAGGAAATGAAGCATCTACAATCTCATTCTGAATGGGCAGGAGTAAAACTGGCTCTAGATAGGGGGTGGGAAAGAGATAGGTCTTACTTATTAGTTTCTTCAGAAGCTAACAAGTTTTTATGATATAGCACTTCCTTGTGGAAAAAGGCTGATTTATGGGAAGATGTAACTAAATGTCAGTACCCATAGAGAAGGCCCCTCTAAGTCAGAGACATGTGACATTGACAACTATCAAATGGAATTTACAGTGCCCTTGCCTATGCTATCAGAGTTAAGTCTCAAGCTTTTGATCAGCACCTTACAGCTATTTTAGCACTGGTGAGATAAAAATGTGCTCCAGTCACCAGTTGTTTGTCTGGCGATTCAAGGTAGAGTGTAGTTCTAAGAGAAACATACAATGATGTCTTGACTTCTTCAAAGAACATCCTTCAGTTTGCTGAGCATCTCAAATGACCTCTTGTGGTGGTCACAGATATCCAGCATCAATCTAAATTTCTCACCTTGCCAGTGAGGAAAAATGACTTGTTCAGGCCCTGAAGTGCTTGCTCCTCTTCAGAGGAACTAATGAACTGCAGAGTTAAATTCATCTTTCTGGTAATTGCAAGATTCGGCAGTCATGCTGCTCTAAGTCCTGGTTCCATCTCTCATTCATCCACACAAGTCAGCATCCCTTCAAATTTGATTTCCTGTCTTATGAAATGCTCGTGTCTCTTCTAGGCAAGAGACGTAAGTGAAGGAGCTGCCAAACAAAAGGGGAAAGGATTCTGTCATTCAGTTGTACAGCTGTGAAGCAATGTGTGTTGCTTTTTTGACAACCTGGTGAATATTAATTGTATCTACTATTTAAATAAGAACCTTTTTAGTTTGGGTTGCTAGCAGTGTACAATGTAATAATCTGTTGCGCCGAAGCTTTTTTTCTTTTTCTTTTTTCTTTTTTACTACCAATAGTCAAGTAGATATTTACTTTTATGTGTATTCCCTTCTGCTGTTCCCATTTAAGATCTGTTGTAATAACTTCCTGAAAGTGTGATCTTTGTAGCATGATTGTACAAGCATACATATGAAATCCCAGATTTCTTATTCTCACTAAAATGTTAAAGCAATAGCAATTTAATGTCTGTCCTTCATAGTGTAGGGTGTTAACATGGTTTCTCCCCCTCCACCACCATCCCTTCTGTATTGTTTGAGATTTTGCAACTTTGCTATCATACTCTGCTAGAGGATTCTTAGCATCCCATTATCCAACAGACACTGACATGTTGCCATGGGTAACTGCAGTGTCCGGGTATTCCTTCATTTTTTAATGGAAAAAAAACAATATATAAAAGGTTTTGTTAAATGCATTTTAACACCCAAGCCATGGAACCGTTTTGTTAAAACTGTAAATTTTTAGGTGACTTTTTGAAACCGCTTGAAAGTGGAATGTTGCATCCTTTATGCTATTTTCTGCTTCCTGTGTAGTTTTATTCAAATTTTTTAACCTTTCTTTCTAAGTTTCAGCCTCCTGTGTATTAGGTACAGTATTTTCTGCTTTTCATACTTTGTAATAAAAATGAAACATTTGTAGATTGACTGCAGTTCACTGTGTGGTGAGTTAAACTGATACAGGGGCACAGAGAACAATTTAAAACACATTAGTTTTGTTTCATGTCTTGTTTTGACTTCAGTGATGTGGCAAGAAAAAGCTTATTGGCTTATCTTTTTGCTGACCTCCTAGGATAGTGAAATGTGCTGATAAACTCCATTTCAATGTACCTATTCCCAAACTATACCTAACTATGTTGGCTTTTAACACAAGTTACCAAAACTGTACCCCAACAGCATTAGTTTATAGAGCCTGGTTGTGAAAGCACTTAACTGACTGGTTAAAGTAATGTAGTTAAACACTTTAATTTCAAGTAACATTTTTCTTAAAATAAAAAATAACACTACCTGTGTTTTTTTCCTTGGCATTCTCCTGTTGTTCAAATTTTTAATGAGGTATTTCAATAAATAGTAACCAGATAATTCAACAGCTCTCTGTAGGTATCGAAATAGAGGGGAGAGTTAGATTTTTTTAACACAAATGTATCTGTCCCTGAGGTTCTTTTCAAATGGAAAATTTAAAGTAAAATTGGGTAACAATGAAATTGCAAAAAGCTCTATACATAACCCCTGTATTGCTATTAATCTCTGAAAAACCATGCTGCATCCTCAGATTCAATCACTTACTGGAGTAGAGATCAATTAGTGACTAAAATAGAGGTGCCCTCTGTCTCATTGGGTGTCAGTAAAAATAGGTATATACTAACATTCAATACTGAGTGCTAAGCAGATATTAATTAGCTGCAGTTTCATAAACTAAAGTTCAGTAAACTATATTGTGCCATGAGCTGTTTTTGGAACTCTTTATTTCCTTCAGCTTTTGGGGGTGGAAATTTTTGTGACCATATTGGAAAGAGATGCTTTTGGGTATAATTGATTATACAGTAAAAGCTTTGTTATCTGGTATGAGTAGGGTAAGAGGGTGCCGGTTATGTGAGAGTTATACTGGCCCCAGCCTACAGCAGCAGCCCACCCTGCCCTGCATAGATCCCTTTCCCCTCCCCCTGCCTCTTCCCCTGTGGACTTACCTGGTGGGGGGGCGGACATGTGCTCAGCCCC